ATATAAGCATCTCTAGAGATGCCGTGGTTTCCCATTTGTGGTAAAGGCAGAGATACTATGGTCTTAATGGAAACTGTGTTAGTGCACTGTCACTGCGGGGAGCCAAAAGGCCATTGTAGACTCAGACCAGACCAGAGTCAAGCCAGATAAAATCAATATGACTTCCAGTCACAATCTTCAAAATAAAACCCTCATTGGTGGGTTTTAAGAGAATTAGAATAAAGTGGCAGTATTTTTTTCTAAGGAATCATTACATGTGTTTTTTCTGAAACATGTCTCCACATACTGCAGGAAAGTGGGTGCACCAAAACACTTTTGGTGGTGTTAAATTAAAATTAGGCAGAGCTAGGTATTGGACATAGCAAAGAAAACAAAAGAGGTGATGCTGAGAGGTGACTACAACTCTTTTTTCCCTGTGTGAATCCTGGGTGTTGACATAAAGTAGATGATAACATGTGATATCTCTTTATCTGCTGTGGGCCAGTTACTGATGACAATAAAGAAAGTAATAAACAACTAGGGTTTAAGGTTTTCATTTGAGATCTGACCTGAGCTTTTGTATGGATTCTCATCTTGATGAATGATCACTGTGAACAGAACAGCAACTGACAGCCTGTGATGACATCAGATGAGAGGGAATAGACCTCAGTATGGTCACTGTGTAGTTTTAGCATGATCAGCGCTAGTATGATCAAATGGATATTCCGTTAATAATACTAATGCAATATGAAGAATAGGCTGACGGTCTATGAAAGAAGAGATGAGGTGGAAGAAACCTCACAGCCATATAGACTTAAACAGAATTTAGGAAAACTATGAGGGGGGCTCTGACTCATTGCTCTTGTGGCCGACCAAAGATAAGAGGGCCTCAGTATGAATATCATCAAAAGAAGAGGCATGTGAGAGAAGGTCAGTTTAGTAGGCGGGTGGTGAGAGCTCTTAGAGCGTCTGTGAGCATGTTAGGAGTATAGTCTACAACCCAAATTCAAATACATCAGGGCTGCATTCAGTGAGAACAAAGGCAATGTGAAAAATATAAAACATAAGTTCGAGGGCCACTTAGAAAAGAAAGGGGAAACTTCAACACCCTCCTTGATGTCCCACTAAATTAAGTCACGTAAAAGAGGAAGGATGTGATACTTGATGTGTGGTGTAAGGGTCTACATCACACTGCAAATTGCTCTTAATTTTTCCAACACTTACATGTGACCTTTTGTGACCCCCACTGCTCTGCTCCCCATTCTACATTTCTCTGCTGTATATAGATCATAATGGCTTGGATGGTTGGAGCCAGTCTAGTTATGTATTTTGCTAGTGCAACTGCAGATGTCGGACCTGTCCAGTTCACAGTTAGGAAGTGTTGCTAACCTTGTACAGTCAAAATTAAGATTTTAAAAAGTTTAAATTGTTCTAGGCACATTCAGGTGCTGTGTATTAACCCCTTTTCCTCAGTATGAAACTAATCAAGCAGAAAATAAAAACTATCAAATCCTCTCTGGTTTGACAAAATTAAAAGGGGCACTTTACAGTACAGTGCAATACAACACCACCACAAATTACTCTTCAAATCTGTTGTATTAACTCCTCTTTAGCACGATTAAAACTGAAGCTAAGAAAATGCATTGGTTAAAATTTAGATTCCATTGTTCCATTGTTATTTTGTCCACCCCTGTAACATTTACATTTACAATATGTCATGGCCAGACATAATTCAAAATGATGTTGTAAATTCAAACTTTAGATAAACACTAGTGTGCTATATGAAATTATTTATTACGTGGGGGGGGGGGGGGGGGGATTACAAAACTGATGGACAAAAATCATGTTGGTGACAGTTTTTCTTATTGTTGTTCTGGAAGCTAGAGGTCAGAGAGTTTGGGAAGAATGCATGACTGAAAGCTCTCCATGCAGTCTGTTAAGTTTGCCACTGTGATGACTGATACAAGATTGTTATACCTGAGTCGTCTGAGGTAACTCTTGAAGGCAACAGGCAGACACACTGCAGCTTTGATCCATTAACGCCCCTGCTTGCCTCGCTCTTTTATGGGCAAAACGGAAAAATCTGTCGTATTTTGCCTCTAAATAATTTCCCATTACACAAGTGAGGTTTACAGCGTCTGCACCACAGTCCTAAACTGGTTTAATTTTCCATTGAAAACAATAGGCCTCGCTAATTGATTTTAATGGCTCTCTCCGCGACGATGAGCCCCTTATGACTTGGAGAGAGGTCTTTAAGATTATTATTATTAGTATAATTGCCATTACCCCCACACTTTCCCTTTGCGAATGGGAGACAGAGAAAGAATATCTTTGCCCTTAAGCTGAACAAATAATTATTATAGACAGGAAACAAACAGACTACCGTCACTCACACGCGTGCCTACATGCGCTCGCGCGCACACACAGACACACACACACACACACACACACACACACACACACACACACACACACACACACACAAACACACACACACATAAACACAAACACACACACACACGCTCCACCTTAGAGTAGACCCCCTTCTGGCGACCCTCATTCCCTCCGCCGCCCTCTTCGTGCAGCGTGCCGCTTGTAATTTATGCAAAATTAATTGATACATCTTTTATAATTGATGTGCTGTAAACTTAATGAGTAATTTATGTAATTAGTCAATTAAGGATAATTCCAGCATATGTTCCGTATGCCCAGAAGGTGTGCTTTACAACTAGTTATTTGTCCAGGAGTTGGGTGCAGGCGAAGACTGCTGTAGACTACCTAATTAATTTTGTTATGCAGATCAGCCTCGGTGTCTATTTAACGGTCCCCTTTGTGAAAACAGATTTAATATTGATCTTTCCCGGGCGTTTAAAGAGGATGCTTTTACCCGCGTTGGCCTCTGTGGGCCTCAGAGTTTCAAAACTCATTTTTCAGGCTCCAGGAAAACAATTATGCAAAAAAACAAAAAAACAACCACAACAACGACTACCTTTATTTAGCGGCGAAGATATGAATGTTCACACTTTGTCAAGCGAAGTGCCGCTAAAACAACGATTTTCCTCGCAGTTGCATGATGTCTTTAAAATATGCTCTCCGTCGACACAGTTGACCTTTTGAGTGGGTTTGAAGGACTGAGACGAAACGGGAGAGATATACCGGCTAATTAATTGACACAGTTTTGAATATTCATACCTAATACAGTGAGCTTGCCCTTAATTACATTGTTGGACTTCTCTCCTAGGAGGCTAAATCACGGAAGACTTAATTATTGTAATGTATTCGGGGGCCCACCGGGGCACCGGGGAAGACAGGAGCCGTCAAGGACCCAGTCATGACACCTGGCCAGAGAAGAAAATATACGGGAAGGGGAGCAGCTTTTGTTGTTCTCCGCTGAACAGAATTCAGAGCAGGGGATGAAGTTTGTTTACATCCTTGTAGGATTCACCGGAGAGTGTTTGAACAGACAGACAGCCGCCGGACTCCCCTCTCAGCAATTAATCAACAACAGCGCCTCTCTCTCACATACACTGTGTGTGTGTGTGTGTGTGTGTGTGTGTGTGTGTGTGTGTATGTGTGTGTGCGCGCGCGCAATTGAGAGCAGAGGAGTAAGCGCACTGATGATTGTGCGCAAAGGAAGACATGATTTATTGTTTGCAAAGTCTGAAAGTGCAGTCGAGCAGATTTAACAAAGGGGTTGTATTTATATATTCCATTCTTTACTATTTATTTCCCTCGTGGCACTTCATATCCACATTCTCTGTCATGCTTATTCCAATCATCTGCACAAGGCACCAGAATATCCAGATTTTCAAAATAGGTGATACGTTTTCAGAATTTTTTTATCATATCCAAAGCATCGGAACCCTTCAACACCTGTGGTAGACTATACTATCCCATTCAAACTTTTTTTTTAAATGAGAGGTCAAAGGTCAGGGTCAGCCACAGATAAGCAGTTATGGAGTCATTGGGGATTTATCAACTCGCTGAAATACATCTAAAAGCATCGTCTCTTTAAGTTTGGTGACTAAAATCAATCACAATCAGTCCTGTCCCTGTGTGGGCTCCTTTACGCGGGACCTCTTCATTGGAAAGACGAGATTAGAAGCAAACGCGTATGCTGATCGCACCACCCACCCCTCATTTTTATTCATTTTTTTACCCCCATCTCTCTCTCGCTCTCTCTCCTCTTCCTCTCCCTTTTTCTCGTTTTTTTTAATCTTTTTATAATTTTATTATTAAATTTTTTTGTGTTTTTTTTTTCTTTTTTTTTTTTATTTATATTTTATTTTTTTTTTATTTTTATTTTTTTTTTGTATTCTTATATTTTTTACAACACACGACACGCCGCACACACACACAACACACGCAGCCGCACACAAACACACAACAGCGCGACACACACACACAAGCGCAACACACACAAACACACACAACAACACACACACACAACCAGCACACACACACAGCCCCCTGCTCTCCCTTGACGTGTCCCCTAAGTGTCTGGATAATAGATAATAGAGCCGGCGACCTACGGGGGTCTTACAAAAACGGCGCTCGGCGAGTGGGAGCATCGCACAAGAGGAGAGGAGCACACACCACACACAGACAGCAGAGCAAACTGGCCCCTCACATCCTTCAACCGCCGCGGAAACAGGGGGAACTCAGAAGACAACTAAACTTTTACGCACAGAGACCGACTTTTACGCACAACGCCAAGAGCCTAATTTGGCGAAGAGACAGAAAACTCTTCTTTCTTCGGACGCAGGAGCCTCTTAAGGATCTTACTTGACAGCAGCGGGCCTTAAGGCTACACTGTAATCGATATAACGCGGGTAACCCTGCACCTGTAGGAAGATCTGCCAGCGTCTAATCTAATGGCTCAGAACTTTGGAACAGATCCGTCAGATGGCGACTGATATGAAGACTGTCGAGTTAGCTCCGTAAAGATAGCATTTAAATTACTTAAACTTTAAAGACTGTTTTATTTAACAATTCAAACTTAAAGAAAATAGTAACCAGTCATGCCTCGTCCTGGGAAGAACTCTTACAGCGACCAGAAGCCCCCATACTCCTACATATCACTGACAGCGATGGCTATCCAGAACTCAGCTGAGAAGATGCTCCCTCTGAGTGACATTTATAAATTCATCATGGACCGATTTCCGTATTATCGAGAGAATACCCAGAGGTGGCAGAATTCCCTGCGACACAACCTGTCGTTCAACGACTGCTTCATCAAGATTCCTCGGCGGCCTGATCAGCCGGGGAAAGGCAGCTTCTGGGCTCTGCACCCGGACTGCGGAGACATGTTTGAGAATGGCAGCTTCCTGAGGAGACGGAAGCGCTTCAAGGTGCTGCGCGCTGAGCATATGGCCTGCAAGAGTTCCCCGATGATGCATTACTTTCACCATCATCACCACCACCACCCGGGCAGCAAGCTGAGCACAGCATCCAGCCACCACGACCACTCAGCCGGCCCGGCAAGCACCGTGGGTCGGCTGCCTCACTTTCAGGGTTACGGGGGCATTACTTGCGCACAGCCGGGCGGGTTTAAACACCCATTCGCCATCGAGAACATTATAGGACGGGACTACAAGGGTGTGATGGCCAGCGGGCTCCCCCTCACCTCTGTCATGCACCACCTGGGTTACCCAGTGCCCCCGCAGCTCAGCAGCGTGGTCAACTCCATGTGGCCGCACGTCGGGATGCTGTCAGAGTCCATGGGTGGCGTGCCCATGCCCGCGACATCCGAGTACGCGCCCTTCAGCGTGTCAGCAAAGGGCCTGTACCACAACGCCAATGGACAAACGATGCCCGCCGTTCCCCTGCCAATAAAACCCACCCCGTCTCTGGGTCCAGTGCCCGGCCTGACGGGGCTGCAGTCCGGCCCGGCACAGCTCTGCTCACCGGCCTCAGTAATGGAGAAGAGCGATCTGTTGGAGGGGAAAGGCAACCCTTTACACCCGGCCCTCCTGCTGTCCTAACCGGGTAAATTGCGGGTCATTTTTAAAAAAAAAAGTAACGCAACCAAGATGAACACTATTAGGCCTACTGCAAAAAAAAAAACAAAACAAAAAAACAAAAACAAAAAAAAACAAGACAGACCGGGAGTCTGAGATATCATAGATTAAGTTACGTGCAGCTGTAGCAGAGTTGTAAAAACTAAGGTTAACTTTGTGCTGTGTAATGAATTTTTCATTAGACCCATGTTGATTGAAATCATAATTTATTTGCACAATTTGTGAGGGCATTTACCACATACTGTAATGTGGCACTGATAAATACAATCAGATAAGTAGATAGGCTAAAGCCAAAGAAAGCTTTGATTTAGGAGACAAACGGTGTGAAATTCCTTCCGAATGCAAACCAACAACTCTGTTTATATTTTTGCTCTTATTCTATTTATTTTATTCTAATCTACGGCAGGCCTCTTCACTAAAGACATGCAGGCCTTCATGTTTTTTTAATTAGGCCTGTTGCACTTTTTGTGTGTTACTTACCAGTGCATTGAAAATGTTATGCTTGTATTATAACACTATTTATCTGAAGATATTTATAAAGAATTTAAAACCGAATCTTCTTTTTGTGTTGTAGTTATTTAAATGCTCGTTTTAATTACATCTCCACACTTTTCACCATGTTTCCACACCACAATTAAAGGAAAAACTAGGACTAGGATAAATTCCATTAGACTCCATTATTCCCTTATATCAAATCACCGTGAGATGAAGTTAATCTGAGGCAAAAAAAAAAAACAATGCTTTCAAGTGTGTGCAATTTATTCAATCATGCTGATTTTAGCGTGTGTAATAATTACCTCCCTACACACAGTTATTAAAGACTCAATATCACTGTCTACAAGGAAATAATAACAGCACAGGTTACTGTACATGTTTGCCACCAGTTTCTCTATGAAATGTATCATTTATAAGTTTATTTCCCTTATTTTATACTAGCACTTTTCAGAGGCAGCAGATCTCTATCTAAATAATTTTAAATGACATTTTTCCTGTAACTGTATAAAGAATATAGAGTAATAATGGTAAGAGTGAAACTTGTACTCAAGTAATTAGGATATTTGTACTGAATCAAATGACATGGAAGTCATTTGAGCCTTTAGGACTCTGGACTAACTCAAACAAATTTCAGGAACTCCTCTTGAACACCTTACTCTGATTGATCAGAAGGAAATGTATATTAATCATTAAACATTTCAGCAGGAGGATGGTGTAAATGTTATATTCAAGTTCATTATTTCAATATGCCGTGTGATTTCCCCAAATTCAAGAGAAATGTACTGAGAAAAGAAATGAACTGTATAAAAATTTGAAAAGTAAACTTTGCCTGAGACAAACTTTACTCAGAGATATGTTTAGATTGAAATCATGCTTCCACAAATCACCATCGTGTGAACACAAGTGGGCATCATGACATGGTCTGATGCCTGTTGCGTCCAGGACAGGTGTGTATGGTCGTCATGAGATGGATATGAGCAGCCGACATGCACTCTAGGCTGCAGCTTCACAACTTCAAAAGCAGGCAGGGAGATAGGATCAAGTTTTGCTCTTTTGTTTGCTCTGTTTAAACGTAGCTTTGAAGCTTCCCCTCTCCAGCAGCACAAAGCGCCAGGTTCAGCCCACTGAAAATGACTTATATTCAACCTCCTGTACCCTGTTTAGCATCCCAAAGGCTCCCACAGCTGACACTATTGTCACACCAGCCTCTGAACAAATAATTGAGATGCACCAGCGGAGGAGAGGCGTGGGAGTGAAGAATTAAAACCTATTTGGGCGTCATTGCTAACGAGCAGAATACATATAATAGTGATTACCCTTATCTTTTTCTTCCTCATCCAATCTCTCTTGTTTTATTCTGTTTTATACATCCTCATTTTTTTCCCCCCAAAGGTTCTCTCGTCTTACTTTCAGTCACACACACACACGCACACGCACACGCACACACACTCTTACACTGCAGGGTGTCTGTAATTCCTAGTTAAAGGGAACTAAAATTTCTATGGCAAGACATAAGTGTCTGTGTGAAAAGTGTGTGCCTGTGCCTGTAGAGGTGTGTGTGTGTGTGTGTGTGTGTGTGTGCTTGCGTGCGTGTGTGTGTGTTGCTTTACTTCCCTGATCAGCAGGCCCCAATGTCTTTAATAGCCCTCACTGCATTAGTGTATAATTAAATGCCACTAATTAAGACACAATAAGAGGAGTAATAATGCAGCTATTATTACCCGCCATGATCCTCTGTCTTCACAACATCAGAGTTAGATGCCTCTGGAATCATATTATCACATGAGGTCTCCTAATGTGCACATGTCTTTATGCACAGGGTAATAGGAGGTATATATGCAGTTTATTTTTATAAGGGGAGACGCTGTGCTGGTTGTGTCAAAGCATTTAAGAAATGATGTTAACTGATTTTCAGAATCTCCGCAGCCATTTGGAAAATAGACACATAAATCTTATATCCTTTAAGAGTGCTTCTTTTTTTGGCATATTCAGGAGCCATTACTGTGTTTGATCACGTCATATAGCGTTCTACAACTTGCAAGATTTTTTCTTAAAGTCATTGTGTGTTTTTGTGGTGTGTCAATATGAACACTTTGTTGATAAGAAACATAATCCAGGTGGCATTGTGTTTCTACCACATATTTGGATTGAATGTAAATGTGAGGAGACACACCTGTCTTTGGAACTTATACTTTAGAGATTACCTTAATGAATAATAAACGAAAAAACAATAAATAAAATTTTTCTATTTAATTTAAAGACAGACAGGAACAATCAGTAACTTGGGCGCAATGTGGCAGCTTTTTTCCTCAAAGTTCTCGCAGATACATATTTGAATCAGGAAACATCAAATCACTACTAAACTACTACTAAATCCTACTATAAAACATCATGCAGTTATTAGAAAGGAAATACATTTTAAAAATTACATGTGCATAAAACTTCCAAGCCTTAAGTGCTGGATAGCGCTAAAATAATTTCTTCTTAAAATAATGACATGGTTATTGACGAGCTAATACATAAAACCTGTTAATGCAACAACTAAAGCCTGGAGACTTCTTCTTACACTCTCAAAATCTACACAGCAGTTTATATTAGAATGTGCTCTAATGTAACCCAGCATTTCCCAAAGAGTCAGAAGCAAAGGGAATTTCAATTTGTTTCAAAAAGACTAATGCTTTGTTACTAAAGACTTTGCAACCATACAAGATAATACACTAATAAATTGTACTTAAAACAATGAGGACATACGACAAGTTCAGTAACTTAGTAGTCTGTGCACCAGCCTGTAAAATTTGTTTTAGGTCAAAAGACTGTAAGTTGGTTTTAGTTTCCAAAGAAAAAATATATATACTCATTCATTAGCAGGACTATGATGATATTTCATTTGAACAACACAAATATAATATTACACCATATGAAAAACTGTTGGCACTGATAAAAGCGTACGGGACTCTAATATGAGAGGATCTCATTATTCATGGAAAACAGTTCATCATGCGAAATATGAGTTTAAAATGAGTAATAGGACTCTTATGAATGAATAAAACATTTAGGTCAGAGGTGTTTTACTGTCAGCCCTCAGAAACGAAACGTTACGGTCTTGAATAGATGATGATACATTAGTGGTAATTACCCACACTTCATAGGGGCCAGGGTGGCAAATTCTACATGCGTTTTTCTTAATGACCAGCAAGAGCAGGCCATCATAATGAGCAGCTTAATTCATTGATCTGATCTGCCGTTTGCATTAACTCAAGCACACTAGCATACATACACATCCACACACACGAACATGAACAACCTTAAATATTATTCTTTGTTCCAGAGAGTAGCCTTTTATTCACTATATTGGCAACATCAGATAACAGAAATCTGTTCTAATTTATTTAAACCTATAATTGCCACACAAGGATTCCTTCTTCTGTCACAGCTTGAAAGATAATGAAAAATATAAGCTGAGCTAAAACTACATTACAGCAACTATTAATTTTGTTAAACAATTTTACAAGAGAACCGGAATCTGTCTATCAAATGAACTTCATGAAGCCGTCGTTATTAAAAGTTAAAATGCATCAAATTGTTTCATAATTTGCAGATTCAGAATACAATGGCTGGAGCACATTAGAAAAAAGTCTTACTGTTGGATCAGGCTTCCTCACTTTTCAAACCACAGACATGTTATATTAAAGTCCATATCCATGCCCCCCACCCCCCACCCCCCCATTTCTCCTTCCTTCATCTGCTGCTATGATTTCATCTATGGTGCAGAAGCTGGGGTGTTCCATCTGAATAATTATAGACATTTCATTGGTTATTTGTAAATAATTAACTGATAGATGAATATACATAAAAACACAATTCAAATGTACATTTAAACTGTGCATTTAAGAAAACGCATAGCAAAAGAGTCACTCAAGAATAAATTCCTAAAGTCCTATCATTTGGTCATTAAATTATCAGTAAGTTAACAAACTTTTAGGCATGTTTGAATTTGAAAAAAATACTCCATTTAAAACAATTTTCTGTGTCTACAAATTATATTCAATCTAACAGTTAATTTGCCGCGTGCATGAACAAGTGCTAAATTCTGTTTCATCCACATTAACTAAGACATCTACAGTACGTTTATTTAAAGACGTACAGCCTATTCTTATTTTGCAGTAACGGGAACTGTCATTGCTCAGGTAATGAGAGCTCTTTCTTGCTCACAGCACAGGACACATGGCTTATTGATGAAAGTTCTGAATTCTAAGTTAACTTCTATGTCTTAAATCTGCACTCTTAGGAAATATTAAACATATTTATATACCTTCAATTAAATAACAGTGTCTAAAAAATACATTTTTTCCTAACGTGTTTCACTGAGAGAAATGCCAGTCTTCGCAGCTCTCTGATCACATTCACAGTTACAGACATGCACACATGGAAGCTGCCCAGTTCTGATCTGCTGGCCACTGAGCAGCTCCACTGGAGCAGTTGGGGGTTAAGTGCTTTGCTCAAGGGCACCTCAGTGGTAGTAATGAGGGCAGGGCAATTGCTGCTTTTTCATGTACCCCACCAGATTTATCTGGCTGATCCAGTGGCAAGCCCTCTCCTCATACTGTTCATCGTGTCATACATTTATTCGCTTTTCACCATATGTACAAACACTGTAAAGTACGAATGGTGTTTGTCCACATACTGCAATGCCTGCTATTTTACAGTTGTGGTACATGTGATAATATTTTAACAGTATACATGTATGTGATTCACTGCAAGCAGGCAGACGGCATACGGCTACATCTGCTCCTATCTCGGTAACGGTCGCCTTGCCATATTCATTGCCGTGGTCTTTAATGGTGGGACAAGGGGACAGTCATCTGGCTCATGTCGACGGGAGTCAGTGTCAGCCAATGAAAAGACCATCTGAGGAGGATTAGCATATTGGCATCAGGCCTGGAGACAGAGAGAAGCTGTCATGGGAGAGAGTCCTAATGACAGGTCACTCTGGACCACTGCACATTACTATAACTCTTCTTGTCTTTTCTCCATAATGTACCCCAATCTCACTTTTCCTGCCTCTCATTACTCTGCGTCTTCTTCCAGTCCTCTGTCTTAAAATCCTTCCAGCCATAGCCCTGACTCTTCTTCTTATTCAATCTCACCACTCCTTCCAGTTTTGTTCCACCCTTTTCAACCTCTTCTCCAAAACTCCCCTTTCCTCTTTCCTTTGGTCGTCCATTTCTTTCTCATTCCAGGCTTCACCTCACTCTCTGTCTTTCCCCTTCCTCTTAATAATTAAACAATGATTCACTGATTTGGGGTCATAGTTTATGTGTGCCCCCCCGGCACCCCGCAAGAGCTGAAGTGTATTGTCTCTGCTCCGTCCTCAAAGTAAGGTCCTCTGACGCAGCTCGTATCATCTTCAATCTGCCATCTATCTTTATTGGCCCAAATTATTATACCTTATTAGTCATTATTAAATTTTTTATCATCGATTCAAAACAGGTCAGTGGTTCAGCAATCCTGGCCTCCTTCCCACTGTTTCTCCTCTCCGACTTCCCCACTTTTTCACTTTCTCTAAGGAGTTCGGACAAAGAACTTCTCCGGCCAAAAAACTTCAGCAATTTTATAAGAGGTTAAGTGCTTCGTGAGAGAATGAGTGCCCATATAGGCTCATTTGCCTCCGCAATAATAGAGATTAAAGTGAAATGGAAATTAACAAAGTGTATCATCGGCTCTCTCCCTGCTGACAGTTTGTACTTGAAATTTTAAATCTCATCACACAATGTCAAAACATACTAATTGGCAGTGCTACAGAGAAAATCTAATAACAAAGGTTTGGCTTACTAAAACTGCCTTGGATCTAAACAGGAACTGTTTGGTTACATGAAGGTGCAGAGTGAAAATGGCAGCAAAATGTGTTTAGACATTTTCTTTTAGAGCATTTATCAAATTGTTTCAGCCAACAACAATTCATTCTGATACACATTAGATAGATAGATAGATAGATAGATAGATAGATAGATAGATAGATAGATAGATAGATAGATAGATCTACTGTCATATCATCATATACAGTTTTACTCATGCTGTCACTAACACGATGATAATTAAACAATGCACTGGTAGAGTTTCAAATGGCAAATTGACAATCTAGCAGAAAGCATGAAACTGATTTATCCTTTGAAATTCGAACAAGAGTTAGAGGGAAGAAAGAACAAGACTCAACAAAAACTTATTTGATTGATCTTTGATCATCAGGCACCAGAAGTCTTTCCTGCCACATTGAGCAACTGGACTGAATCAGCAAGAACGCACTGAAGAGTCATTCTTCCTGAGTTTGAAAGCGTCAGCTTCCATGAAAAACAGAGTTGAAGTTTCCTTTGTGCCTTCTTTGTGATGAAGGAAGGGTAAAGGTCACATTTAGCTCTGGGCAGGTGGTTAACAGGATGAAGTTACACCCTCCAGTGGAGAGAGATGTAGTACATCAATCATAATGTACACAAATGAAGGAGGGAGTAAGGCTAAAGAGTGAAAATTAGTTTTCATGATGCATCGGTGTATGTGTTGTGGGCATGGTACCGAGAAGTACAGCTTTGCTACATGTGTGCAGCATAACAACAGGAAGAGTAGTAGATCTATAGCAAAAGGCTGTTAAATTACAGAGCATGTCACACAGATTCACTCACTTCAGCTGATAATTGACCAATAGCTGGGAATGGAACTGAACATGCTGTAATAAAAGACAGATATTATTGTGAAGAAGCAACAACTGTTCTAAGGTTCAGAGTTAGGCTGAATAAAATACAAAGGCTATATTGGATAAAACCTTTAAGGCATTTTGGTTGATGAATTAACATGGTATTCAACGCAATGAATTATTAAATGAAGCCCACAAAATAAAAAGTAATTAATTATTATTTTAAAAATGTAGCGCTCCAGAACCAAAAGGTTTTAACATTAAAACACTTGGCAGCATTTGGCAACAATACACTGTTCTCTCGTTAGCGTTAATTGCAGCTGTGACAGCGGTTAAAGGCAAGGTCCTCCTCTGACTCCCAATCATTTATCTCTCCATTACTGAGAGCACTCTGCGTTTTTATTGGCGTAATAAAGTCGATCTTCACTACTGCAAAAAGCCTCCTGACCCCTGGGTGCTCCAGAGGCCCCTGACTCCTCCCAAACGTATTCATCATCTTCATATTCATTCTCACACACACACACACACGCGCGCGCACACACACACAAACACACGCGCACACGCACAAAGACACACACGTACGAACACACACGCACACATTTGTGCTTGTCTTGACTTTCCATTTCTTTTGTAATCATTTTTTTTTATAGAAGTTATAATGCTCATAATGCTAAACAGAAAAAAACCTAATATTTAAACCTAAACAAATGGAAGTTTGAGGTTGGCCAACAGTAAATGTAATCCATGCACGCCCTCTTGTGGAGGAATTCAAATTGTTCAAACATACACAGAGTATGTTTGGTAACATGAAATAGCTGTAGTTTCTTCAAATGCTGGTTTTTACAATATCACTGCATGATCATCATTCTTGGATAGAAATGGCACTACCTCATGGATTCGTAAGTAAATTCAAAGAGTGGCATGGAGGGTCAAAAAACATGATCCAGACTAAAGCTCACATATCCCCTATATGTGATACTAATTATTCGAGACACATTATCAGAATTTTTTCCATGCAAAGTTTGGATATTAACTAAGGGACAGAAAGTCATATCATGGCAGAGAAAATATACAAATGAAAAAATATTTGATTTTAATATGTGGGATTCAATGAGTTTAATCAGTTCCACTAAAAAGACAGAAACTGAAGCATTTGCACCCTGGAAATGTCTGAGATTGAATTTCTGAGGAGGATGAATTCACCCTGCAGATAAAGAGTACACTATGTTCAGTAGCTCATATGTTGAGAATACATTTAAAAGTCATTAAAAGGCACTCAAATGAATATTTGCTGTATGTTATATAAGCCTTTATAACATAAATGTGCAGTGGCCACAACCAAAAACACTCTGATGCTCCATAGTCACCTTTCCTTCAGCTAAGTATAGAGAAGTCCTGTCTCCAGGTACAAGTACCTCTATCATGTTTGAAATAATGCTTGTTAAACTAACCATAAACAGTATTGGTCTCAATAACATGATGTTTTCTTTTCCCTTTACTGTAAGGATCAATGCAAAAACACAACACCTTCCCTCGATTACATGAAAGTAAGTGTACGATTTTTTTTTTAGTAGTAGTAAGTAATGTATCTAAACCAGCAGTTAGTTGAGTTTTACCTATATAAGGATACATACTGACTCCGAGCTGCCGAGTACACATCAGGTCAGTTGTGTGTCCGGACTGCCAGCTGTTTAAAGGTCAGTGGGTCTCTGAGGTGGTGGGCGCTGTCTGTTGGCCTGGGGTGCAACTGTCTTTGAACTGCCTTTGAGCGAGAGGTCATCTCTCTCAAAAGCAGGTTATATTTGTGTCATCGTGACCACAACAACACACACTTCAATGTTTTTTATGAGTTTTAATCTGAATTTCATTCCAATTCAACACTTTGTTATTGTTCAGTTTAGTTAGACTTAGATAATAAAGTTAGAAATAAATTCATTTAGAGCACAATAAAAAGGCACATTTCAGTGCTGATGTAAATCGTCTCAACTTCCTGAAAAGCTGACGTCAGACCCATGTAATACAACAAAATGCACATGAATGCACCGTACTGTGTTTGCCACCCACCCAACGCGCACTCGATACACTGTGTCTGTATATGTATTCTTATTGTGTGTACGTGTGTGTGTGTGTGTACAACCTGTTTTGTGACGCAGGTGGGGGTGGCAGATCAGTGATGCAGAGCTTCGCACTCACCTTTAAAATCTGTCACAGGCACATCCGTCACATACATGCAGATCTTTCTTCAGGGACGAACACATCGAAACCTTACAGGTGAGAGGAAAATATTCATCTGTTATACCTCTGACAATTGTGTTATTCTGTTTTAAGTTCTATTTATTTTATTTTGCTAAATAACGTGTTTTACTCTTTTTGATAAAAGGAGAAAAGTTTGGATTTGTGCACAAAGACTTTACACTCAAATCGTGTTAAATCATCAGAAAATAACTATGTGGGTCCTTGGGAAGATCAGGGAGAGCGTCGAGAGCATTCCTCTAGAGCTGAGTCGTTATATGGGAAAGAGTGAGGAGGACATCTTTCTCTCATGTAAGACCAGCTTCTCTCACAATCTGCCCAACAACATCCTCACCCCAGACAAGATCCCAGACTTCTGCCTCCCCCCACGGCTCTGCAAGAGAAGCCCTCTGCAGGAAACGGAGACAACCCCGTCTTACCTGCACAGTCAGAACCAGATACCCAAGAGCAACACTTCTTCAAACACAACACACGTAAAGATGAAAGATGTGAAGACTAAGGGTGGTGATGCATCAGTGGCTTGGAAAGCTACAAAGAAACCTTTTCCATTCTCTGCAGAGGGGTATGGGCTGGCTGGGATATATGAGAGCCCCAACACTCGAAGGAAAGAGTCTTTGTTTCACTCAAAGTGTCCAGTTTACATATTTGACAGAAGCACTCCTACTGCACCACCCAGGCGGGCGAAGGAGACAAACCTGCCCAAGAAAACTTTATCTGGGTTTTTCCCTCTATTTTCATGCAAGACCCTGTCAGAGACAGGAAGCAAAGAAAGTGAAACACCTTCTTCCAGTGACTCCTCCCCCCTCAGTTCTCCTTATAGTGGTAAATCCTCCCTCTACATCCCATCAGGCAGTGGCCGTCTCAAAGGAGCGACATCCTGTCCTTCGTTAATTGACAGCAGGGAGGTCAGAGGGAGGTTGAAGAGGGGGGATTTAAGTTTAACAACCTCTCCCAGTAGCCCTCCAAGCTTAGAGGGAAACTCACTCACCCTAGCCCCACCTGTCCTCTTTCCACTGGATGTTCTGCAGTGTCAGGAGAGACTTCAGCGTGAGCATGTCCTCCCTTTGCTGGGCCATGGTAAAGTGCGCCTCTCTGCCGAGCGCACCACATTGTCCACCAACACGTTCTCATCCCTTTCCACAGTCAGAGTTCGTGTGGTGTCTGTGGAAGGCCTGCGGGATGACCGGCGAACGCTGAACTGTGCAGTGAATCTCTGTCTGACACCAGGGAAGCTTCAGCAACAGGAGAGTGCCACAATCAGGAACTGCCGCAGCCCTGTGTTTAATGAAGATTTCTTCTTCACAGAGCTGAGTCGGGTGGATCTGCTGGACCTGCAGCTGAGGTTAAAAGTGGTGGATAAACCTGCAGCTGGAACACTGAGGAGGGGGACAGTGATTGGAGTGATCACCAAACCACTGTCTCAGTTACTCCCCCTTAATAAATGGGTAGAAGACTAAACATTTCCCTTACAGAAAAATGTAAAAATACCAATTCTATAACCTATTTTGTGTAATATTTGTACTTAATAGGAACACGGCACACAAAATGTATGATAAAAACACTATGTCTGAAGATAATTAATACTACGTGTACAAAAGAAAGGTGTTGAGGAGAGAGACATGAGAAATATTGTAAAGGCTATGTGCGCATTTTGCAGGTACTACTCTGTAAAATCTTCTGCTGTTGGTGCTCATCAACATTTGCTATAACAATGTGAAAATGTCAGCTATTCTGTTTGTCTCCTGCACTCAAATGGCCAAAAAGTGACCAAAGAAGTTGATATTGATATCAAAAATCACACTGTATATTGAAATCATGCCTTCTTCGTTACCCTGCAATACTGATTAAATTGTCAAACATTCTTGTTGTTTTAAATATAATTTGTGACTATGGTTCATGTTGCTTTATCATTCAAATTGCCTTACTGTGATAAAAGCGTATGTCTCAAAAATGAATCCCCTCTGATCCAAGTTTTTAACCTTGTTAACATGTCCATATGGTGCTTTTTATATAATAAAAGACATCATGAGCAAAATAAGCATTAAGTAGGTCAGCACAGACAGGGATAGTTTGCATTAGCACAACCACGAACACTGCCAGTTAATAAAAGATGCTAACTACACTTACCCATCTGCTTGTTGCTGATTTTGGTGCCAAGCAGACATCTTGATCCACACTGCTCTTTCACCAGTCACTGAAACCTTGTCAGTACAAAGCACAAGAGTTTGCATTAGCACAACCACTAACACTGTATCACCCACTGCCAGTTACTAGCTAACAAGCTAACAAACAACATAAGCAAATAAAAGATGCTAACTATGCTTGCTGTTCTGATACATCTGTAGTTGCCGATTTTGATGAACAACAAATTCCAAATATTAGATGTGTTTCCAGCCAGAGTATTTTTACATAGTTTAAACATGTGTGGATGGGAACTTTGAAACAACATGGCCCACACTGTTACATACAAGTAACCAATCTTGTAACATTAAACATATTTATTTGGCTTTCTTGCTTTCTTTCTTTAACCTGCTTAGGCACAACAATAAGAACTTTCCTTCAAAATCAAGAATTGGAAATAGTCATTTTTGCTTGTAATATAGCATGTCTCAACTACTATAATGCCAGTTAGAGCTCTGCTGCTTGTTTGTTTTTTGCTTTGGCCTTTCCTTGAAACCCTGATCTCATAACTTTCTAGTTTGTGGTCTTTTTATTTCCTGTTTATCTCCTCACCCTTCTGTAAAAAAAAAACAACAAAAAAAAACCTTACAGCACATATTTAAAAAATGACATAAAAACAGTTTATTTGCTGTACTTACTTACCTACAGTGCAGCAGGAAGACACTTTCACGTTTTATTATACGACATAAAATACGCCAGTAAATACCCCAGTCATGATTTCTTTAAGCTCTTATGTGTTATTAATTAGTGGCTAAATGAGACTACAGAGGTTGTTGGGGATGTTAAACGTCATCAGCCCAAACAACTGACCCATCCACTTGACTGCCTCGTTGTGTTTAAATACTCGCGCTCCTTCAAACTAATAGTAACTTCGTAAGATGAAAGGTTTTTGGTGAAGTAAGCGCGCTCAATCAAGCTACTGGTTGAAAGTTTAGTATTGGTGACGTCGAAGTCATGCGACCGTGTAGTTCGTTTATAGCCTAACTTTAGCTTTTTACTTCTGGCGATTGCATTTAGGCCTTAAAAAACAATGAAAGTGGTGTTCGTTTGTGAAGATTATCCTCTTGGACAAAACGTGTAAGTGTGATAAACTTTTGGTTGTCACAGATCTTATTTTCTGCAGTAATCCAAAAATCAAGGGAACCCCTAATGCATCCATGGAGGAAACCAGAGTGATACTAACTTCCGGGTTAGGGTTACTTAAATTGCTGATGACAAGTAAGTGGACAGGAGAATAGCTTTACATATAAAAACATGAAAACAGAGGATATTCAATTTAATTTATTTAACAGCTCTCATTCAGTTAATTATTAACTGGGCAAACTGGTTTCATCGATTAGTAATGTTTCATTTTGTGGGTATGTTATGTTGCCAATATAATTATTAAATAAATATTATTGATATAATTTAATATTATATAATAAACTAAATAATATAACTAAATAATATATAAAAGGTATTAATTTAAAGTTTACTATTAAATAAAACTATGAAATTATTATTATTATTATTATTATTATTATTATTATTATTATTATTATTATTATTGTTGTCGTTATTGTTATTGTTATCAAATTAAAATTCCTGTCTAATAATTATGAATAAATAATTGAATAATTATGAATTTCGTAATATCTTTCTATGAAATGCGAGCATAAGTTGGCTTTATCATTTACCTACCTACCATCCCCTTCTGTCCCTGTGCTGCAGCATTGTGTGAAATTTAGCTTACAAAAAAATTGTACTGCGGGTACGGCATGACATCAGAGCACCGCCCACCGCAGGTCGTCCTAATCTGACGTTGTGGCAAGCGAGTCCCCAGAATGTAAACATGGTGACAGATAGATGAAAGAAACGGCAAAATGGTGTTCGAAAGCTTGGTGGTAGATGTCCTGAACCGGTTTTTAGGAGACTACGTTGTCAATCTTGACAGCTCACAGCTACAGCTTGGCATATGGGGAGGTAACTGAACTTGTGTATGTAATTTTATTGGACTAGCTCGTCCGCCAAGCTAGCTAGCTAATGCTAACAGACGCTAGCCACCAGGCGTGTGAGAGAGATTCGCTCACCTGTCAGTGTCAGTTTATCTGTCCGAAGATTTTGTTTAGCTGTCCAGTGTGAGTAAGACGCTGCAGCCATTTGCTTGTTTATGGAAAAATCAATCAGCATTGTTAATTTCTGACTGCTCAAATGATTTTATATTTCCTTCTTTTGGTGCCGTCAGGCTGTTTGCTCGGCGCACACATGCGAGTTTCAGAGAAGCGAGCAGTTTGGGGTCACACCCTTTCACACAGCCAGGTCATGACTCGCCACTGTGTTTAATGCAAAGTCCTTTTACAAGCTCTACCAGGAAGTCTGACACTGACAGCCCTGTACCTTGTCGGGCAAATGAGGATTAGAGAACAGGGTTCAGAGCCACTGTTACACATGTACCAACTTGTAAATCTCAGGGAGTGAACTCTTTGTATTTACTACACGTATACTGTCACAGCCTAATATCTGCTGCTTTTAGTAATAGACACGATAAAGGAGTTTTTCAGATTTTGGGCATGATCAGTCTTACACACATACATGCACAGTTAAGTATCTTGGGACTTGTAGTAATGATGTGTGTGTCATGAATGGCTTTAATAATGTATGTGTTCCTTTGCCCTGAGTGTTGAATTAGGTCAATAGACAAAGGCCAAAGACCTTCTCTTTAAATTGGACTGTGTTTCTATTAGCCTGATAACACAATACTAATCTATTTGTCTTATCATAGTGTACGTAGTAACAATCAATAAACCAATAATCCTGTCATCACAGGTGATGCTGTTCTTACAAATCTTGAAATAAAGGAAAATGCCTTGGTAAGTTGCTCAAAAATGCGTAAGTAAGCAAAATAAGTCATCTGTCAGGTTTTTCTGACATTCATGATAGATTTGTGTTACAATAACTTACTGTTCTTATGTTGCAGAGTCAGCTTGACATTCCTTTTAAAGTGAGAGCCGGTCATATAGGTGAGTTTGTTGTTACTGTCCACATCTGCCACCTTTCCTTTAGTACAGAATAACATTTTCTCATCTTGTGTTTCTGTTAAAAGGACGGCTGGAGCTTAAGATACCATGGAAGAACCTCTACACCCAGTCAGTGGAGGCCACACTGGATGGTGTCTATCTGCTCATAGTCCCCACAGCAAGTAAGATAAGCATCTATGTCCAGCTGAAATACATAAAAAGTACTCATAGTTAAGTACTTATAGTAGACATCATAGTGTGTACAGAAATGTTGATACTCACCATTTCAGTGGACACATAGAGTGATTGAATGTTAATATGATTATGCTTATGTAGTCATAGTCAAGGTTTTAAAAATTCAAAAACACAGTAAAATATCTTTGTATTTTAATGACATGTATTATAGTGAAAAAAGTAAAACTAATATCAACTTCAGTCTAATGAATACCCCTTAAGAGAAGCAGACACAACACAGTGTAGCAGAGTAGTCAGACAAAGGACATCCCTCACTTATTCATGACCCTAAAGTACTTGTCAGGACAAGCAGGAAACTCAAGCTTAACCTTTTGTATATTTCATTGTTTTCATGAATGTGCAGACAAATAGTCATTCCTATTGATCCCATTCTTTCCAGGTATAAAGTATGATGCAGAAAAAGAGGAGAAACAGCTACAGGAGGCTCGTCAGAGGGAGCTACAACGGATAGAGGAGACAAAGCTGAAGGCTGCTGAACAAGGTCAGGGTTCAGCTTTGATTTTAAAGGAAATCTTGTGTTTGTGTGTGTGCAAGTCTAGCAAATATTCTGTGTGTAATTAAAAAGTCAGGCATTTTTGCTTCCTAGTACGTTTTTAACAGGTTCCAAAGACATGCTGTGAGACTCGCTGAGAGAATAAGCAAGAGAGACAGCAGTAGCAAGCAGTGTTACTGCTGGGTTAGGTAGCCAGAAGAGACTAAAAAGCAGAAAAAGAGTGGATGTCTGGAGTAGATGCAGAAAAGTAGCAGGAGCAGAGATTGTAAACGCTGTGTGGTTGTGGTTAGTCTGGCTGTGAATTTGTGGAGCAACCAGGCTACCACTTTCACACTTAATATTTTTCTGTGGTTTAACACTGCTGAACTGCTTTGTCTTAGCCTGTTGCCAACACATCTATCTGAGTACTAATAGAAATGCTACAGTATTGTGGCTACATTTTGTTATAACAGCATTGTTATTAAAACAACTCATTATTTGTCATTAGATCAATAAATATTGCAATAAAGTGAAACATTTCTATGTTAATTTG